GTTGCAGTGCAGTCCTGTGTTTGTTCCACGCCAGGACAAGCTTTAATGAGACTCGCCCCAACTAAACAAGACTAAGGGCTTCACTAAAAGGGCTTAGCGAGGCCCCCAAAAATCGGCCGGAGTGCTAAGACCAACTCCTTACTTCGCCCCTCTCGAAACCTAGATCCCCTCTAGCAACTCTGCCCTGCTTTTCCCCTCTCATCTACCATTTACAAACCTAAATCCCACAAAAATCGAAACAAAAAAGGCAAAAAATTCTATAGTCTTTCCATTCTCATAACTAGATCCAAACCCAAAATTCGAAACAAAAAAGCAAAAAGAAAATTACAAAATCGCTATGCGTTTCATTATGCACAGCAGTTGTCCAATCACACATGCACAACAGTCGTTCTAATCACACATGCACTCCAGACTCCTTGATCGCAGACCTTCACCATTGATGCCGGAGAAGCATGCTGATGAATATCAAGATGATCCAGACTCTGATCTGGGTTCTGATTTGCCAATTAGGTCCTAGAAAAATTAGAAAAAAAAAAGGAGATGATCGGAGAAAAATAGGAAGAAAATGATGGAGATATAGAGGGAGAGGGATGAAGAAGAAAAGGGATTAGGATGAAGAAAAGTTAGGAAGAAATAGAGGGAAAAGAGAGAAAGAGGGCGAGGAAAGAGTAAAATTATTCAGGATGAGGGAGATCAACGGAAAAGAAGTAGGAAGGGACTAGGGAGGTTTCTAGAATGGACAAAAAAGGATAAAAGTAAGAATTAAATAATAATAAATATGAATTAAATAATAATAATTATTAATTAAATAATATAATATTAGATTTTGTTATTAATATATTCTTTAGTCCGACACTACACCCAACGCTTTACTAAGTTAATCCAGCTTAGTCTAGTCTAAGTCAATCTAACTTAGTCAGTGAAACTAGTCAAGTCTGAGATAATCTGATGCAACAAACGCGCACTGATTTGACTATAACAATGCTTCACCCTGTTGCAAGTCCAAATCAAAATGAATACCAATAATTGTGAAATTGGTGAAATAGTGGACAATGGGCTACACAACTATTTATTTCTTAACTAACAATCTTATCATGTATTTGAGATTGCATGAGCACCTGCATTATTTGAATTATACAGTTGCATTATTTGATAGCTCCGAGGCATATGATGCTAGGATGACTGTTCGCTTTTCTGATATACTTGGATCATTTTATTACTTCTTCCGTCCAATTTCTTTGAAAGTACATCAAGTAATAAATTAAAGCATTGGGATTTTTTATTAGTCAGAGCTAAGTAATCGAGTCCATTATGATATTTTTAGAATACTAATAGCTTCAAAAAAATAAAAATAAACAACAATATTTTATTTTTTTTGGGCCAAGGAAGATTTTATTAAAATCAAATATACGGATTACATATCAAAAGGTCCACAAACAGAGAAATATAAACAAGGATAAAAAGGGGTCAACCAGACAAACCAACAAGAGCCCAGCTAAACAACTAAGGCCCAACAATAAAAAACACAAAACCGAGAACTCTGTTGTAGCCACCTCCACCGGAACAATACATCTCGATTTGCACAAATATATGTTCATCAACAAGCATCACCTCACCAAACTCATCATCCAAACCCGAATAGCTTTTCTGAGCACAGCCACAAAGTAGAGATAACTAACTAAAAGTAATTAGTCAGCTATCAAGATAAAAAAAAAAGCTCATGGAAGACCATGAGCAACACTGCCAGAAACGACGGACAACAGAGATAAGGTGGTGGTGTTGGGAACACTTGAATTGGTTGAAGAACCGTAACTCTAAACACCTTCTAGATTGAAAGTATGGTTGAAAAACAAATCTCAGAATAAGGAAATCGAAGCCCAGATGAACAAGAGGAAGGGATGTTAGAAAGATAAGAAGAGGATGACATATTGAGATGAAAAGGAGGGGAAAACACAGCAGAAAAGACAAAACAAGGAAGGGGAAATTGACAACCAACTCCAGTCGAAGCTAGAGTTTGCGCCACCTATTTTGAGTAGATTGAAAACCCTTACAGAAAGAGGGGAAATTTTTTACTGTTTTATTTGTCAAAGAAAAATAGAATATATTATAAAGAATTAATTAATTGGTTGGATATTCGGAAGTTAAAACTCGTTAATTTTATAAAGGTATTTTGAATTATTTGATTTATTAGATCTTGAATTTTAATGAATTTTTATTTTCGTTTTCAACAATTCATGAAAGAACGAATCAAGGAAAAACTTATGAATATACCGGCTACAAGAAAATACCTCATGATGGTCAATATGGGCCCCCGCCACTCATCAATGCATGGTGTTCATCAACTCCTCATTTATCTAGATGGTGAAGATGTTATTGACAGTGAACCAAAATTGGGTTATTTACACTGAGGAATGGAAAATTTTACGGAAACTCGAACAATTATATAATATAGAGAGAGTCTCTCACGACAGGAGAGAAGGGCCTACAAGCAGCCCAATATATAAACAACAATAGTAAATTATCATTTATTTTAGGCTTTTTAGCCAAAATGATCCCTGAGATTTGCATAATATATCACTTTGGTCCCTGAGATTGAAAATCAATAGAAATGGTCCTTGAGATTGTCCACCATTCATTATTTTGGTCATTCCATTAAAAACTCCTATAAGTGTCCTAAAGCTTTTGGCTGGAAGTTTAGGCAATTTTCAAAACTTCATAACTTAGTCGTTTCTTAACCAAATTCGACCCATAATATATCAAAATGAAGATTGGAAGCCCAATGATTGCCAGAGATGGCCAGAAAATAGCCTAAAAGGTGATTGGTCCCAGGAAAAACTGGAAAACTTATCGGAAACTGGGTAAACTTTAAACATTCATAACTTCTTCAATACTCAACGAATTTGAGTGTTTTAAAAATAAAAATCATACTTCTCAACGAGACAAAGAGAATGGTACCTTTCTTGATGGCTAATTTGCCGTGGTTTGGCCAAAAAAACGGCTCGAAATTGGCTAACTCGAGACCAAGATAAACAATTTCGAGCTGTTTTCCAGCCAAACCACATTGAGTTAGCCGTCAAGAAATGTACCATTCTCTTTGTCTCATCGAGAGTATGATTTTCGTTTTTAAATCACTCAATTTCATTAAGTATTGAAGAAGTTATGAACGTTTAAAGTTTACCCAGTTTCTTGCGAGTTTTCCAGTTTTTCCGCGGACTAGTCACCTTTCAGGCTATTTCCGGCCATCTCCAGCAACCATTGGGCTTCCAAATTGTATAATCTTGTTTTACGATTTCCTATCTTTATTTTGATATATTGTGGGTCGAATTTGGTTGAGAAACAATTAAGTTACGAAACTTTGAAAATTGCCTAAACTTTCGGTCAAAAGCTTCATGACACTTAACGGAGTTTTTAACGGAAAGACCAAAATAATGGATGGTGGACAATCTCATGAACCATTTCTATTGATTTTCAATCTTAGGGACCAAAGTGATGTATTATGCAAATCTCATAGACCATTTTGGCTACAAAAAACCTTTATTTTATGGATTATTTTAATTAAAAAGGTCAAATTTCAAGATTAATTGTAATAAAAATCACATTTTATTTAGGGAAATTTTAGTGAACTCATCTAATCTCTTTCTACACTTAATTTATTTTTTACACTCATTTTATTTTTAAATAAACTATCAATATCTTTTTAAACCCAAATTTATTGCCTAACCTACCCTCACAAACCCAATCCATATGTAAATGTGTTTTAACACCCATTTAGAAAATAAATAAATAAATAAACCAATTTCTTTGGCTCCTCAGCAACTCTAGTCACTGCTGCAGACTTTCCTAGCTTCAACAAGCTAGGCTTCTCAATTGCGCGAACATACTTGAGAATCGATGGCTTGGCAAGCCTCCACTGCCACCTCGGGCATCCGAACTATTCTTTTTGAGCAAATGAATTGTGCTTGTTGGGTTTATTGACACCCAAAACCAGCCATTCCAAAAGGTTCTTATAACAGCGGATGTTTTTGTTTTCCCAAAGGGTTGGCTTCATTTTTATCAGAATGCTGGGTATGATTTCACCACTGTTTTGTCAATTTCCAATAGCTAGAATCGAAAGATTGTGGAATTTCTGATGCCATGTTTCAGTCTGATCTAGATATGATTGGCAGGATGACAAAAGGGTTTCTCACTCATGACATTGGAAATCTCACTCTTAACAAGCAGCAATTTAGAAAGTTAAATCATATTATTTGAAGATAATTAAATGGTTCTGAGTGCATGATCTAGTAGTTAAATGCATAGGACTGTTTGAAGTGCTTGTGGCATTAATCTCATGAGTTTGTGGTTTGAGATTAAAAATTATCATATGCTAAGCTATTGTAATTTTTGGGGAGGAGTTCGGACTTGAGTACAAGGAGACATGTTCTGTCTTAACCAACATTCTTAAATCATTTCCTCCTTCATTAAGCATTTTAAAGAACATAGGATATACAACAATTGCATGATCGGAGTTTGATGATAGGATAAAGATTGCGTGATGGAAGATTTGATTATTGGATGTGAGTTAATTGATAAATTTTAGTTTTATTATTAATTTTATATTCTACTTGATGGTAATTACGCAATAGGATAAAAAAGGCAATTCACAAGGTTGTATGATATCAAATAAAATTTCTCTTCCATTTATAGGGAAGTGATCATTCTTTTGAGGTTCTTATTTGCTCTTTTTATTTATGAGCATCCAAATGAATAAATCAAATAAAATTAACGGTCGCTTAAAAGACCTTCCTAACACGAGATCAAATTTTTTGCACTCAAAATCCTATTTGTGACCTATACACACGGCAAATATTTAAAATGCACATAATAATATTAACTCTTCAACTTATCTATTTAAAACGCATTTAATAATGTTAACTCTTCAACTTATCTATTTAATAAAAATAAATAAAGATAAATCAAGTCATTATGACATGTGTCACTCAACTAGAAAAGGTACAGAGGCTACAGAAAGTTTTGGCCGCGGAAGATTTGAACTCTTCAAACACCGTCTTTGCAATTGGACCCCGCAAAGAAAAGACACGGTAGAAGAAAATGAAAAAAGCCGCCGCACCAGCGGCAGCAGCCGCCGCGGAGGACTCTTCCTCCATGTCATGCAAAGACGTTCCCAATCTCCTCTCCTCTTTCGTCGACACGTTCGTCGACTTCTCCGTCAGCGGCGGCCTCTTCCTCTTACCCCAAATTCCCAATAATCCACTTCCCGCCTCCCCTCAAAATCACCAGAATGCCCTCCCTGCCCGCCACAGCTCCGACAATCCCCTGCCCTCTCGCCCACCGCTGCAAACCTATTACCCCCCGCAGGACCGTTTGGTTGCAATCGGCGATCTCCACGGCGACTTGGAGAAGACCAAGGAATCGCTGAGGCTTGCTAAATTAATCGACCCGGAGTCGGGTAAATGGGTCGGGGGGTCCACCACCGTGGTCCAGATCGGCGACGTGATGGACCGGGGCGGCGACGAGATTAAAATCCTCTATTATCTCGAGAAATTGAAACGAGAAGCCGCCAGGTGCGGCGGCACGGTGATTACGATGCACGGCAACCACGAGATCATGAATGTGGAAGGAGATTTCAGGTTTGTGACCCGCAAGGGTTTGGAGGAGTTTAGGGTTTGGGCTGATTGGTATTCCATTGGGAACCGAATGAAGTCGCTCTGTAAAGGCTTAGAAAAGCCGAAGGATCCCTTTGATGGGGTGCCCTTAGGGTTTAAGAATGTGAAGGAAGAGTATGCTGATGGGTTTAGGGCAAGAATTGCAGCATTGAGGCCATCCGGTCCAATTTCGTCGCGGTTCTTGTCGGATAACGTGGCTGTGTTGGTTGTGGGGGACTCTGTTTTCGTCCACGGCGGGCTTTTGAGCCAGCACGTATCGTATGGTTTGGAGAAGATCAATGAGGAGGTGAGGGATTGGATTCATGGGTTGAAGGGAAGAATCGCGCCCGAGTTTTGTCACGGTGCGAATGGTGTGGTTTGGCTAAGGAAGTTTTCGCTTGGATTGGAGGATAAGTGTGATTGTTCAGCACTTGAACATGTTTTAGCTACCATTCCCGGCGCAAAGAGGATGATTATGGGTCATACCATTCAAGAGTTTGGGATTAATGGCGTTTGCAACGAGAGAGCAATTCGGATTGATGTAGGGATGTCCAAGGGGTGTATTAATGGCTTGCCCGAAGTTTTGGAGATCAAAGGGAATTCGGGTATGAGGATCTTGACGTCGAATCCACTGTACAAGAACAAGAAAAAATCTACTGTGCATAATGAGAGGCCTGCATTTTTGCCGCAAGGACCAAAACAAGTGGAAGTGAAGGCTTAGCTGTTTTGGTATTTTTCAATTTGTTTTATTGCTGTTTTGTTTCTTCAATGTGAAACATTAGTACTATGTATAGGAAATATTGTTCTCTAGCTGAACTGTGGAGATGTTAAAGGTTTAGTTTTGTGATGTTTTCCATGTTTCTACTGTTTGTTAAACTCTCTGGTGTTGCTTGTGTAGTCTTCTTCCCTGTCATTGTAGCCCCAACATGTGGCCTATAGGCTTTTTTATGTGTTGTTGATCGGTTGTGGCACAGGACTGAGCGTAATGGTGTTCTAGGGTTCATATAACCAACCTCACTTAGTGGGAAAAAGGCTTTGTTGTTGTTGGTTGTTGTTGTTGATCAGTCGTATCCCGACTTCAGCTTATCTGCTGGAGAATAAGGCATCGTATCCTTAATTTTCTTCCATATTGATTCTGATGGTTAGAGGTCGCATTTGGTGCGATGGCAAGTGCCTTCGCCCATGAGCAGTAGGTCTCGGGTTCGAGACTTGGGAGCAGCCTCTCCATAAATGGGGGTAAGGCTAGCCGACATTCACCTCTCCCAGACCCTGCGTAAAGCGGGAGCCTTGTGCACTGGGTACAACCTTTTATTGATTCTGATGGTTATCTCTATTGGAAAGATTTTACTTGAATGCTCTTTTCAGCTGGCTTTGTTCACAATTTTTCTGTAATAATTGATGTTTGTAAAAACGAGGGATGTTATTAAGGTCTGATGGCCACTCGAGGAGCATACGCGACTGATGAGGGTCAAGAAAGAACAATAATTTTCTATGATGAAAGGTTTTGGCAGTCAGTTTTTCCTGATTTGTTGTTTTGGACAAGTAACGTATTCTCTGGATTTTGCACAATAGTTTGAAGGAATAACTCTGGTGGCTCAAGTTTTGAAACTAATGGATCTGGAGACAGGTATTGTGTTTGAGTTCAATTTTATAAGCAGCTTCGAGAGACCTTATCTTGAAATAGGAAGAATTTTCAAGAGCATGCTTTTTTTTGCATTTTTTCTTGAATTGGATTTAGAACTGAAATTGAGGACATCATTTCTCTGTGATTCAGCTTACTAATTATGTCCTCTATTGAAACTTGAACTTTAGTTTAAGCAAAAATGATTTGTCTAACAATGCAAGTAATGGGGTTCGGGTTTCCTTGCAGTTATTCAGCTGCTATTACCCCTCGTAGCCTTCTTTGTTTCAAAACTGCCTCAACCTCAAGCTCTCCTGCAAGCTCCTGCTCACGAGGTATTAAGAGTAATTATAGAACTAATGAATGCAATAGTACCTGGAGTTGAGTTAATTCAAATTTAAGTAATGCCTGTTAAAGCTGAAACAGAATGAGTTTGGGATTTAACCCCAGATAGTGCTTAAAGTGTTGATTTACCCCAAAAGCCCATAATGTCTCATTGTGTAGCAAATAGCTCCTGCCAATTTGTTTCTTCTGTGCATTCAAATCTGCGTATCGTTCATTTCCTGCACATCTTTCATTTAAAAGTTCATAATTCGAAGGTTACATATTGATTTTGACTTGTCACATAGTTTGGAAGGTCTTGAGATTAGTGTCCTTTGTAATATCAAATTTGTAAAGGTATCCCAGAGTTTACTTGGAACAGTTAGATACCATTGTTGAAAGTGATAACTAAATAGATGGACACCGACATCTGAAATTAGAGCCAAACTGAAAGAAACAGTGCCAACTAAGCAATACGATGTCTGAAAGTAAATTCCATTTCTTATTCTTTTTCTTTCTTTTCACAACAGACTTTTCGTGTCTTGTTTCATGGCGTACAGTGTAACTTGAATTACTTCTTGTTCATATCTATAAGGTACATTTATATAATTTGATAATTGTCTCGGAGAGGTCATATCATTTGAGTATTTGAAATTGAGCTCAAGAAGACCTCCAACAGTTGTTGTAATTTGTAGGTAAATAGGCATGTCTGAATTACAGTTCCGTTGAAGAAAAGCCTGCCTTTGATTTGGTTTAGTCCAATGCACTCTTGTGGATTTTCTCAAATAGGTGGGTTAACGTTGAATCAATAGAACATACTTCTCACTTCAACATTTTTAGTATTTTGGCCTTCTCCGTTGGATCGGTGTTGCCTGTCCTTTGTGGCTTTAATTATAAATGCTTGGAAAAGTTCACTCAAATGTGTAGTCGGAACATTCTTGCTAATGGTCGGACATTCTGTTCGTTGAGGGTCATTTGCTTGTCCATATGTTCAGTTGTCACTTATATTTACATCTAGTATTTAGGAACATTATAACCATTTCATGTTTTCCTCTTTCTTTTCTAGATGGCTAACAAGGGAACGTGATCAAACGAAGACGAGCAAATCTGGCCTTCCTGAAGGGAGTAGTTCCAAATGTCCCAGGCCAGCGTTAACTGATATGCATTGTTTGACATAAAAAGGAAACTGATATGAGATGCAGTAGCTTTGTTTGATTTTGGATGAAGAGCATGGAAGGTACGGTAACTTGTTTACCTTCATTACTTCCTGACGCTACACTCTTATAATTGATTGGATTGATATATTCAAGCATTTGATATGTTCAAATTGTAGAAAATGTCGACGCCGAAATATTTGGTCGATTCTGAAAAGCATAGGTGCTGAATTACATAACTTGTAGGGAAGGGCACAATGTGATTTAATGGAGAATAAGATGATCAATGAACTTGTTAGCCAAGCATTGATCGTCCAATCTTTCTAGCTGCCCTACAATAATAGCGGACTTGTTACGGTACAACTCTGAACCTAGACGCTTATGCGTCTAGATTACATTCCTTAGGTATCGGCATGCAGTTTTATCGCTGTTGGGTGAGAAGAGGTAGAGGTCAGTACTTTATTTGAAGACCAAGTTTTGTAACTTCCGGTGACTGAGATATAGTAAGTTATCGAGACCAAAAATGTCTTGTGATACTGTTTGGGGATATGATAAGCTAATTCAAGTGATGTCTATTTGTTGGGCCGAGGGACTAATTCAGTTATTAGTGTATAGATATTTTTCTTCTCAACGTTACAATATGTCCCAAGTTAAAATCACCCCTCAATTGCTAAAAAGTGCATATTATGAGTTGAAAGTAGAATATCATTAGATAGTTAGTAGCCAACAATGCGTACCAACAAGTGGCTCAGTAGAAAAGTGCGGACAGTAACTCCCTAAAGAAAATAAGGGGAGGTCTTGATTTCGATACTTTGTAAGCTGTGAAGTTGCTTGATTATGATCATGGTAGAGTGCAATGCTTAACTACCCTCCTTTAAATGCGAAAGGAGTGGATAACTTTTGTTCGCCATCAGTGTCTTTCTTTTTTAAAGGAAGAAAAAAACAACGCCGACCGACATGTCACACATGGGCAGAGTTGATCTGAGAAGGCCTCAAAATTATCCTTACTCAGCATTAATACTGTTTGACAAAATTGTAAAAGCAGAAAAGCTAAATGACACTGGTAGTAGTTAGGGTAGTCATTAATGAAAATAAACATCATCAGAGCTGCACAGCACGTGGGCATGAGATTTTTTAAGTGGATTCGAAACACGAGCTGGCATAACAGGTGTCACAATACAAGTGAAGAAAATACTTAAAATTTTATTCGTCTTCATTTATATTATAAGATACGATGTACTCACTTGTGTTCCGACTACATAGAAAAATCTCTTGTAAGGATGTTGTATCATTGTACACTGCTAATACCATTGGTGTAGATGAGAAATACGGAGATGTGCAATGTAACATGGGTAAATAGACCTCCATCTTTGTTGGTTCATGTTCTTAACAATGATGGCTTATCATGTCCCCCTTAATCTTAATATCGGCAGTGAAGGGGGCGACGTTTTAACTTGGTTGAAGCGTCTTTTCCTTGTACCTCCCTTCACTGCTCGGCTTATTTGCATCTTAGTTATTTGCATGCCTTGATGTAGCCTTTCCTAGTAATGTTTGGCATCTTTACCTGGTAATGCTATTCTCAGCTTCCAAAAAAAACAAAAAAAAAAAGCCTCAATTAATTAATAGGGCCAAAGCCTCCTAAACAGCTCATCACACTTGCTATAAATAACAAGGCCTGTGGAACTGATAAAGCACCAAAACCAAATGGTACGTTTGGATTAAGCACTTTTGCACAGTTAGTATATCCAGTGGTAGCATTAGAAAGGCTTAATTCTCAATGCCGATTCGTGTTGCTTTTCAAGGGGCTCTTCTGGGTCTCTGGTTATGCTTCTTTGCTGCAAGCTTCTGCTATAGCAATGGAGAGACCATTGAGGTAACTGGTGAACAAGCAGCAGCCAAAGCTTTTTCAGGTAATATATATGTACTTATATAGTTTCCTTTTAAGAACCAAAGTACTCTAAAATGTCAACCATTTATTGAGTAGTTAAATTGTGTCGCATTTGCATGGTTTTTTGCAACGTTGATTTTTGAGAGAAGACCTAAATACTAAATAGTTAATAATATTGATACATTGTTGAATAGGGCCGTAGTTGAACCTACCTAATCTTAGTTTCCTTTTCCATTATGTAAGACTCATATGTAATCATGGATTAGTCTAATGTGTGATTAAGTGGTAGTTATTTGATAATCATTTTGTATATATTCTTGGTTATTAGTTAAGCATATATATTTGTTTTTCTCCTCATACGTAATGATCTTATGCACGTCTCTGTATCTATACTATGTCCATAATGAAGAGCTGCAAAGAGCAGAAGCTGCAGAAGTCAATGAAGAAGACAAATTTAAATTGCCTCCACACAAGCCATTCTTCAAGAAGCCGGCTCCACCTCATATCTTTCCTCCAAAGCCCTTTTTCAAGCCACTCCCTCCACCAGCTCCAGTCTATAAGATTCCTCCCTACAAAAAGGGTCATCCACCGGTTCCGGTTGTGGAAGAAAAGCCATTTCTGAAGAAGCCAATTTTCCATCCACTTCCAAAATTCAAGAAGCCACTTCTTCCGCCAATTCCAGTTTACAAGAAGCCACTTCCTCCGCCAATTCCAGTTTACAAGAAGCCACTTCCTCCGCCAATTCCAGTTTACAAGAAGCCACTTCCTCCACCAATTCCAGTTTACAAGAAGCCGTTTCCCCATCCAATCTTCAAGAAGCCGATTCCAAAATTCAAGAAGCCATTTCCTCCGCATCCATTCCTTGGGAAGCCATTTCCTCCGCATCCATTCCTTGGGAAGCCGTTACCTCCCACTGTTCCCTAAACTAGACTAGCTACTTTTCCTTCCAAATAAGAGATGAGTAGCATATAAATAGCTATAGAATAAAGTCCTACATGGAGAGAGAAATGAGGTTGTTGTAACTTTATTATCTTGAAATTGTGGGTTGTGTTGTTGTACTTGTTTGATTCTGCTGTTATGCAGCTACCTTGTATTACGACCTTTGCATTTATAAATTACTGGAAAAAAAAAAATTTCTTCACTCCAAAGAATCAACTTCAGCCCTTCAAAAATCCTTATGAATGAGATCATTAGGACATTGATATCGATAAATTTTCAGGCCCAACATGGTCAACAATGTTCGTCTTAATCACCTATATATTATAAAAGGCATCGGTGATATTATGTGGAATTCTATTCTCCAACAGATATTTCATGAACTAAACTCGAATATGGCAAATCAAAAGAACTAAAAACCTGCACAAATTTTCAAAGAACCATTATATATAACACCAAATTTTTAATGGTGAGAGTGTAGAAACCTATAATTCTGGAAGGCATTTTCTTGTTGTGCAAGATTCGTTGAGACGGGTCAACAACCTATACCGTCCCAAAACTTGCATCTTAATTATTAAGACATGTTGAGTATTATTGCAAAAGACCTTGATATGATTAGGAATGGAACTATTTATATTGTAATTTGTTTGATCAATTCTTGTACTGTTCAACAATAAGAAATTCCGCTTCATGCTTATTAAAATTCTTTCTGCACTGCTCAAGCATTTGAGACACCTTTAAACACAGGTGCAAGCTTGAGTGTCTGGTGCAATGTATACAAAATAATCTAAATTATCATCTACTATTAAACTGGAATCCACCAAGAATTAAGAAAACCTCAAAATTTATAATTGAGTAATAATACGAATGATTACAACCATAGCACCTTATATGGACTTTCTAGGAGTACGAATAGGAAATGAATTAAACAAATAATAAAAGCTTAAATCCCGTTTTGTGTTAGTAATTTGATAAAAAATGCCCATACGTCAGGGCAAAGCGCTCAGTGTTGTTTGCCTCACCGTTCAAAACGATTGATCTTGAGCACAAATCAGATATTGGAGTCCAAATCTACGATGCTCGAGACTTGATGCTGATTTTATGCCTTTCCTACTGTTCTTCAATCTTTTTGGTCATATTTTCATAACAATATTATTGTCTTGTTACTTGTAAGATATTGTAAGGGCATCTTACCTTTTTTTTACCCAATTTCTTTACCAGGGAAAAGATTAAATTGGAATACAATCAATTTTCAAATGAAATTTGTCAAGATTGGACCCCATAACATTATTATTTCTCAACTAAATGGTGTATAATAGCAATCATATGTTACTTTACATTCCTCAACTGGCATTTATGCCACCGATTTTTCTGTTCCCAGACAAGCACATGTGACATGCCCTTGAACATTTGGGAGAGCAACACTTTGAAAGCTTAGAGTTATTAATGCAGTTCAACATTAATTAGTACTCTACTAAACGCTTCACGGGGACCAAACTTCGAAGTTGATCGTATAAGTCAAAAGTACAACTTTAATGTACTAAAATGACTTCCTACTGACATTCTCATGCTTACCATTTAACCAAAAGTAAAAGACATTCTCATGATCACCTGTCAAACTATATACAAATATACATTTCAAGGATGTGTATTTCACATACGCTACACTACAATACGTTCTTCAGCGGTAATATATTCGTCGTTAAATGATATTTCTCGCTAAATTATCATTTTGTAGTAGCGGCAACATGTTATGCATAAGTAATTTTCTCTATCTAATTCAAGTAAAAAACTCATTCTTGTGTTTGGAAAAATGAATAAACGGTTACAACAAACAACAACAACAACAAAGCCTTTTCCCACTAAGTGGGGTCGGCTATATGAATCCTAGAACGCCATTGCGCTCGGTTTTGTGTCATGTCCTCCGTTAGATCCAAGTACTCAAGTCTTTTCCTAGGGTCTATTCCAAAGTTTTCCTGGGTCTTCCTCAATCCCTTCGGCCCTGAACCTCTGTCCCGTAATCACATTTTCGAACCGGAGCGCCAGTAGGCCTTCTTTGCACATGTCTAAACCACCGGAACCGATTTTCTCTCATATTTCCTTCAATTTTGGCTACTCCTACTTTACCTCGGATATCCTCATTCTCAATCTTATCCTTTCTCGTGTGCCCATACATCCCACGAAGCATCCTCATCTCCGCTACACCCATTTTGTGTACGTGTTGATGCTTCACCGCCCAACATTCTGTGCCATACAACATCGCGGCCTTATTGCCGTCCTATAAAAATTTCCCTTGAGCTTCAGTGGCCTACGACGGTCACACAAACACGCCGGATGCACTCTTACACTTCATCCATCCAGCTTGTATTCTATGGTTGAGATCTCCATCTAAGTTCTCCGTTCTCTTGCAAGATAGATCCTAGGTAGCGAAAACGGTCACTTTTTGTGATCTTCGCTAGATTGCTCCGGTCATTAGTGTGGATAAGTATATAAAATGGATAGAGATAGGAAAGCAAACACAAGATGTACGTGGTTCACCCAGATTGGCTACGTCCACGGAATAGAAGAGTTCTCATTAATTGTGAAGGGTTTACACAAGTACATAGGTTCAAGCTCTCCTTTAGTGAGTACAAGTGAATGATTTAGTACAAATGACATTAGGAAATATTGTGGGAGAATGATCTCGTAACCACGAAACTTCTAAGTACCGGAGTGTGGTATCGTCTTGACTTGCCTTATCTGTCTCATAGGTAGATGTGGCATCTTCTCTGGAAGTACTCTTCCTCCATCCAGGGGTGGTATCTGTAACTGGTGGAGATGCACAAGGTAATGTATCAATTTCACTTGAAGCTTACTTGTAGTTTCAGGCTTGGTCAAGCGCGATACAAACCATGTAGTAGGAGTCCCCCAAGTCGCCGAGCTAGGGGATCTGCTGAAAGAGGTGACAGACAAGGTAAGCAATCAGAGCTCCGGCTGATTGTTCACATTTCTCCCTATCTTGCAGGCAGCATGAAGGATAAAGAGAAGAAAAATGAGAAGATGAAAGAGATGATATGGGATACTTTTGCTTTTGAAGAAGTAACTTTCCACAGGCTTATTCTTGAACTGGGCTGGAGGGTTTTCTGGTTTCCTCCAGAGTATAAGGCCGACTGAAGAATTTGAGGGTCAAAACAAGTCCATCAAATCTAGAGTACGTTCGACCCTGCTGATGATATGGGATACTTTTGCTTTTGACAGAGTAGTGGATGTATCGGCACGTGTGCTGTTACGCTTGTCTCCACATGCTTCCTTGTATCCTTCTCACTTGCCCTATCTGTTCCTCAGGCAGATGCGATGCGGTATCTTCCCTGGAAGCATAAGATGTTGAAGATGAGTACTCGAGAGCAATGCCAGGTAAGTAATCAGGTAAGGGGTTCCAGGCAGTCAGTTCCTGGCTGGAAGCTTGATTCCAAGTGCTGACTGATTGCTCTCTTTCTCCTTGTCTTGCAGGTAAGAACAAGGCCAAAGGAAAAGACAGGGAAAAAAGCATGATATGGGATACTCTTGCTTTTAACCCTGATGATATGAGATATTCTTGCTCTAGTATAGCTTGTTTACAGAGGTATTATCGGGGGGAAAGAAAGCTGAATATTTCGAAAGGCTTCGTTGGGAGTGCCCTCTCAGATATGAGGAAGGGTTGAGCATTTTTGCAGGTCTGCCTGTCCGTTGGGGATGGAGGTCGACATATATAGGAGTCTCCCTAACATCAAGTAATAATGCTATTCCTTTACCCTGCTTGGTCATAGCACGGTAGTGGGAGCTGCCAGCTTCACATGTTTTAACTCTGTCAGAGCACTTTGAAAAAGTGGTCTGTGGTATCTGGAAAGCTGATGTTGCGTGTGAAGATTACAGACAAGCTTTATCCAAGGAGATCCAGCTCTTGAAGTTGGGAAAGTGGTGCCTCTTCGGTTTTTGAACAAGCAATCCTGTCGGGGATCTGGCTCTCGAGATTCGGAGAACGATGCCTCTTCGATTTTTGAGAAAGCAATCTTGCTGGGGGTCTGGCTCTCGAGATTCGGAGAGCGGTGTCTCTTCGATTTTTGAGAAAGTAATCATGTTGGGAGTCTGGCTCTCGAGATTCGGAGGGCGGTGCCTCTTCGATTTTGGAGCAAGCAATCTTGTTGGGAGTGTTTTCTCGAATGTGAGTAAAGGTTGGGCATGTTTGCTAGTCTACCTTGCCACGAAGCACAGAGGTTGACACACACAGGGACTTTCCAATTATCCAGCAGTGGTACTGTTCCTTTACCCTCTCTTCGATTTTTTAGAAAGTAATCATGTTGGGAGTCTGGCTCTCGAGATTCGGAGGACGGTGCCTCTTCGATTTTGGAGCAAGCAATCTTGTTTGGGAGTGTTTTCTCGAATGTGAGTAAAGGTTGGGCATGTTTGCTAGTCTACGGTTGAGGTTGACACACAGGGACTTTCCAATTATCCAGCAGTGGTACTGTTCCTTTACCCTTGTGGGTAATAATATGGTAGCTAGACCTTCAAAATTTATGTGTCTAAACTTTGTTAGTGTTGTTTTTCTTTGCTATTCTTTTTACCCTTCTTGGTCAGAGCGATGTAGTGGGAGCTGCAAGCTTCACGTGTCTCAACTTTGTCAGAGAACTTTGGCAAAGTTATCTGTGGTACCCATGAGCTACTGTTGCGTGTGGGAAGTGGGTGATTGAACAGTAAGATTCATGTGCTTTCTACTTCGCCAGAAATCTTCGACAGAATGCCCATAATTTCCGCAAAGCTGAGTGTGCGTGTGACAGGTGCTGACAAGGCTGGAAAAGTAGGTGCCTCTTCGATTTCTGAGATCGGCCCTCGTGGTCTCTGAGCAGCCCAGCTTTTGAGAAAGCAAGCCTCTTCGATTTCTGAGATCGGCCTTCGTGGTCTTTGAGCAGCCCAGCTTTTGAGAAAGCAAACGCCTCTTCGATTTCTGAGATCGACCCTCGTGGTCTCTGAGCAGCCCAGCTTTTGAGAAAGCAAACGCCTCTTCGATTTCTGAGCAGGCGCCTCTTCGATTTCTGAAGCTTCGTCGAGTGCAGATTTTTATAGGGGCTGACATTAAGTTCCAAAGCACACTTGAATATCCACCAGTAGAAGCTCCATTCTTGCACTTCTAAGATCTTGATTTGTCCGACCTCTTCTCTCTTTCAACACCTTTGAAAATGTCTGGCCCCT